AAAATTCTCTGCAGTCCAGAAAGTAACTCCGTTTCCCTTCCATCCCTCTCACAGAAGAGGGAGAACAAAGAATAAACATAATAAATTTTAATCCAAGCCCTGTTCTAGGGATGTTGAAAGAAAAATGCAGCCAAAACCTGTACCTTTCATAGGTGAACCCTTAGGTGTAGCTGGGACATGCACGCCCATTCCGGGACCACGACGATAAGGGAAGTTTTCCGGGCTGTATTTTTCACAAAGAACTTGCATGAAACTTCTCCCACTGGGCTGATCCATTGTCCCTTCCAGAAATGCTGTGATTCAAAAGATAGGAAATAATAATTTTATTGTCATTGTATGTGTATACACAGTATACCCATACAACGAAATTCACTTAACACCCAAAGTCCAGGTCCAACACACATAACAATCCCCAAATACACACCCCACCCACCACAAATTCCCCACCCCTAAACCACCCAAACATCCACACAACAGACCAAGTAATGTTGTCCAACAGCTCACTGATGGTGGCTCTTTAGTTCATTGTTGAGTGCAATTATAGCTCTGGGATAAAAACTATTCCGAAAACGTGTGGTCCGAATTTTAATTGTCCTGTATCTTCTGCCAGAAGGCAACAGTCCAAAAAGATTGTAAGCAGGATGGGAAGTCTCTGAGAATGTTATGCAATAATAAATAAATGCCTTCCTTCCAACTGGCAAACTTAAAATACATCATTAGACAAAGCACCTTCCATTTTAATTTGGGTGAGGGAATGTATTAGATTCACTAAACGTTTGGAAAGCTTCATACAGTAAGGATGCTATTAAAAAAGCAAGTTTACTCCAAGATCACATGTGAAGGAACTTTTTCAGAGTGACCTTTCTTGTGATGAAGGCTTAGATCAGTATGTCCAACTTTGGCAACTTTTAAGGCCTCTGGAGTTCAACTCCAAGAATTCCCTACCTAGGCATGCTGGGTAGGGAATTATGGGAGTTGAAGTTCACAAGTCTTAAAGTTGCCAAGGTTGGACACCCCTGGCCTAGATATCAAGCTTGAAAGAAGACATCTGAGGGACTTATATGAGGCTTTGAAGCATCCTATTGTGGCCACTCAGAAAAGTCAGGAACAGGTAAGTGGGATCCCAATGGGCAAAATGAAGCGTGTGCAATTTAGCTCCTTTAACCATTCAAACCACTATCAAAATATATGCTTGTGGAAAAAAGAGGGAACGGAAGGTAAAACCTTTTGTAAATTTCTGAATTCAGTCACAAAATCTCTGGTGTGGAACATATGCAAAACTCATCAGCACAGAATATACTATTCTAGACCAATAAAATAACTTGACATAAAGGTAGTATTCGTAGGTCTTATAAACTTATACAAACATACCACTTTCTTCATTTTTCTAGTGTGAACAGATGCTGGGCATAAAACATTCAATCTGTAAGGTATATCTGTTCCAATTTGTTGCATATGTCAATATTTTGGAAATGGGAATAGAAATAACACACAAATTAAGATACCAAAGAATTAATCAACACCAGAGATGGGCAGAAGGTAAATGTGTGAATGATGTACAGTAGATCACCCAACTGTTCCTCAATTGTAGCAGCAACCAACCAAGTTATTTCCCTCCATTCCTGGAATTAAAGCAGATGAAGTGATGGAAACATGAGCTTTTAAACCCTGGACATTCACATGGGAGATTGAAGGGAAAAAGTGCCCAATTCTTTAAATCTTAGGAGGGCATCTTATATAAGACGTTCCGATTGGTGGATTATTTTATCCCCCAAAAATAAATAGTGCAGAATGTCTCAGATGTTCCCCACTTACACAAGATGGTTATTTTTAGTTTCAGCATTAGCTCTCTCGGGAGTTACATGTATGAGTTTCTGGGAATCTTCTTAGCCCTTCATTGTATTTTTCCGGGAGGGAAAAGATCACACATCCATGTAATTCCCTGCACAGGAAAGGATAAGAGAATGGAAGAAAAGCAGGAACTTAAAACAGCATCAGTGAACTTAAGAAACAATGCTATCTAATTCGCACATTTTTTTTCCAGGAATCTGACAGCACCTTTTCTGAGTAACAAATTTTATTACAAGCATAAGCTGCAACTCATGAAAGTTTATGCCTCTGAATAAAATCTGTGACTCGGAGCGAGTGCTGCCAGAGTTTTATAGACTAACACAGCTCTCCTCCTATAATCTCATTCTTTTGTGAATAGGAACTAGACAATTTATGCCAGGGAAGGCTGTCAACAAGTAGCAACTTGATTCCCCCTAGTAGAATCTGCCCAGTTTACCCAGGCAACAATACACGAGCACACAATAGATACAAACTTAAGGTAAACCACTCCAAACTCGACTGCAGAAAATACGACTTCAGCAACAGAGTGGTCAATGCTGGAATGCTCTATCTGACTTTGTGGTTTCTTCCCCAAACCCCAAAACTTTAACCTTATACTGTCTACTGTTGACCTCACCCCATTCCTAAGAGGTCTTTAAGGGGCGTGCATAAACGCACCAACTTGCCTACCTATTCATAATCATGTTTATACTTATATCTGTTATCTAATACATGCTTGACAAATAAATAAAATAAAATAAATAAAACAAAACATTTGGAGGCTAAGGGTTCCTTCCTGCTTCCCAGCAGAAGTATATGGATATCAAGGTCATCTATCACAGCAGTGGCCTCATTTTGTCCTCCAGAGCTACATCTTCTGTTCTGAGTATTTAGCAAGGCACTTAAGGATATATTCTTTAATTGGGCATTTGGTACATAATTTGCATGGATTTTGTTGACATTATTGATGGGCTAACATTTTCATTTTGTTTATTATTACTGCAGAGTTTGGGCTTGGAGGGATTGATTTCTATAGTTTTAATCTTTTTTTAAAATGTGTGGACTTGTTCACCTTGGTGGTGTATAAGCACTGTACAACTAAGTGGTAATGATGGATGGCTACCTTTCTGATTGAACAGGATACTGAAAATTATTTGATCAAAAGAGGGGCAAAGAAGAAAGTAAAGTATGGAGAAAATTTGTTTTAAGGGATTAATCTGGCAGGGAGAGGATTTGTTACTCACAGAATTTACAGAAAGTAAGTCGTTCTAGTGATTTACATCCTTCACAGGGTACCATTATACTAATTACATCATTTAAGTGATGCCACTACACAAATTGTCCATGGAAATTTGCTCCACTGTATGAAAGGTTAGTTGTATCAAGGTTTAATGAATGAAGGTTTCACTGTACAACTGTACCATTATGCTCCCATCTATTTAGCCAACAAGGAAAAAAAGATTACAATATTAAAACTCTGGCAAATCATGCCAGTTTGCAAAATAGTAATACAACCCACTGCCTTAAAATAAAAATCCAAAATGCAATAAGAACATTAAAAAAAATATTAGTTGGATGGCTTGGGAAAGCCAACATAAAAGAATGCAAATCTAATTGGGACTTCCGTAAACTAGAATATAAACTTAAAGGGCAAACCCTTTCCCAGTTTTAAAACTGAATCCACAATTCGAATGCCCCAAGGTTGTTGAGAACCACACACTAAGGTTTATGAAATAATTCCATGGGATCTAAAACTTGGATTTTGGATGCCTTTCTGAAGAAAGATAAGCTGCTGGTATATATTAAGGTGCTGGTAGTGGTTATGCTATTCCAGAGCTGCACAACTCATTGAGGGGAAAAAACTGCATTGGTAATATCGAAAATTCTTACGTGCTGCACAGAAATACCGATCAGCTGCTCCATGGCAGTGGAAGCACTAAAGTGGGCTGCAGTGACAGCTCCAAATTTATTATAGTACTTATTTTTTAAAGTCTGCTTGGTGGGTCATATGTAACCCCCAGGCTGTATACTATGCAGACTTGCAGTATATAAGCTTGAAACAAAATGCTTTTAAAATCAAACCTTTTCAAAAAAAGGTGGACATTTAAGGGTTTTAGTCCAACAGTTAATTTCAGTCCATTCCAAAAATAAATCTCTGAAAGGTTCATAGAGCATCACTCAACATGGAAGTATTTCACAGACTGAACTTTAACAATAGCTTCTGAGCATTGCAAAGGCTTGTTCTATAGATCACTGGATTTATCAAAATAATCATACTTCAAAACATCAACAGAAAATAATTCTAAAATGTGGAAACAGAGTAACCTTTGTTCCTTCTGAAAAGGAGCATTTGTAACCAAAGTCAAAACCAAACTTTCCATTCTGGAAAGTCGAAGAAAAAAACAAGGGAGGGCTTCGTCTTGGGGATGGGGAACAGAAATATAAACGTGAGTGGAAACATTTGTTGGCTTTTCCCAAAAATCAGTATTATACCATTACCAAGGTTTTCTGAGTGTTAATAATCCACTTTCCTTCTCTGGAAAAATCAAGCTTCAATTAAGAAAACCAAATGGTTCCCAGAATGCAACTTAATTTTTTTTTAAATGTCTGTTATTAAATGCAGATGAGGCATCTGCTATCTATAAAACCAGTTAATTCTTAAATGTTTAAGATGAGACCCTTTGACAACACTTGCCACAAATATAGCAAAACAATTCTTCCATTTTTACTAAACTAAACTCTTTTGGACTTTTTTTTAAAGTTATGCACTTTTCAAGATAGTTAAAAGCCAGTGAAAATATTTTCAAACATATTAGACAAGATATAGACAGTCAGCAGCATTTAGAAAATACTTTGTCTCTAACAAGATTAATACTTGAATAAGGAAAGCTATGATAATGAGGGTAGGGATCTAGGTACATTAGCTACATATTTGTGCTTCTGTAAAATAACAATCTTATAATAGAACTCCATTTACTCTCAGGTGATGTTTTATCTTTCAAACTGCCTTTCTTCCATTATGAAACTAAGGAAGATCTTAAAATGGGTTTGAAATGGTTTCCCTGTCAAGCCTTGACCAGAGTTAAGCCTTCAATCTCGGCCTCAATTTGTAAGCCAGAAAACAGGAAGAATGTTATTGCTATCCAATAAGATGCTGCCACTTGCCTTTAGTTTGGGAATAAATAAAAACTTTTATTTTATTTTATTTATTATTTATTATTCTTATTTTATAAGAAACAGGTAATATAATCTCACCAAATATAATTTATTTGCCAATAAATTAATACAACTAATCGTCAGTGGACAAGTATAACTACCCCTCTGCAAGTGTCATTTAAAGCTACAAATGATGAAACTGCATATATAGGAAAACCTTAACAGCAAGTTCAAACCCTAACATGGAGCTACTATGAATTGCTTGAGATGGTTTATTTCCTGAATTAACCTGCTCTATACTATGAAATAAATAAGCTCATTTTTTGGCTATGACAATCTGAGATGTAAAGGCAAATCAAATATCATGATCCTATTTACAAGAACCTATACAGGAAATAGTACTTATTTGTCCAATTCCTGATAAAATACAAACTTTAGGGACTATTTCAAACCTTTCTTTAATCAATGGCCACTCTGAAGACTCCTATAACTGTCATGAAGTACAGATGTCATTGTCTTTTACAAAATTATCTCTTAAATTTAGTCTAATCTGTATATATGATCTTCCTGAGGATTCAGTTTTTTTTCTAGATCCTTTTGGACAATCTGATCCACCAGATTGTATGAATTACCTACTCTAACTGGCAGTGAATATACCAGTTTCCACTGAAAAATTCTCCCATCATCTCTACTTTTTTCTAAATAGAATATGGAAGGATTCAACATAAGACATTCTTCATGCAATGCAAAGAGCTGATCAATAAGCGCAGTTTTTATAAATGGCAACATGGAAAAATTATAGTTGACCCTTTTAAATGCTTAAAAGCCTGGTACCATTAAGGTAGTGCCTTTCCCGAGAGCAGAGGTTGTATACTTCTGAAAGCCAGATGCGGAACACACGGAAATAGATCGACCAGATGGTCCTTGGATGACACAACAGGACTCGTGCTCCCCCGCCCCCCAGGACTTCTGCAACTCCTCTCACATTGCTGAAGGCAACATGCTAATAACTCACCAAATTATTCAAGTACATGCTATCATAGTTATGCCCTTAATATTTATTCAAGGACATTAACCATTTGAATGGCTGGGGATGGAAAGGAAACCAGAGCCATGTGGTTCATTATTATGAAACACAGAAGCATGTGCATTAAAGGATTAATGTCAAGGAAGGGATACTGCATGATACTTTGTATAAGCTAAATTGTGTATTATGGTGTTTTTGAAAAACCTAGAAGTCACCATGTAACAGTCTGTCCCCAAAGAAAACATTTTATCTGTACCAATGTATCAATGTTACTATTATCTGCACCAATGTATCAATGTTACTATTCTATCTGAAAGGCCTATGGAAAAACATTCATTTACTAAGCTCCTCGACTCATAAAGGCCTTCAGAGGTTAACAAATCAAAAATGAAATTCAATGGCTGGGTACCTAAATGAGGACCCAGATTGTGGGGGCAATAAACTGACTTTGTATAAAAAAGAACACTGCTTGGGGGGGGGGGGGCAAAAGCCCTACTAAGCAGGTATATACAAAAGTATGAAGGCTATTGCTTAACGCATTGTAAGCCTCCCCGAGTCTCCGGAGAAGGGCGGCATATAAATCGAACCAATAATAAATAAAGTTATAAATCAGACTGTTGGGTTTTTTTTTTTTTTTAAAAATATCTATTGGAGGTTTTTTTTTGTTTTCCTCCAATAATCAACTATTGGAAGCTGTGGTATGTGTGGAAATGTAAATGAAGCAGGCATTTTGAGGCCACTGTTGTTTCTCACCTCTTTGACCAATGATTTTTTTAATGATTTTTTCCCCGTTCCAGGCCTGTTTTTCTCCTACTGCTAATGATGCGGATGCTGACCTTCTCTTCTTACCAGCTACCCATCAACTGCCTCCAAGGAGACAGAAGCCTGCCTGGACTCAATTCTACCTCTTGTGCTTCAAAAGTACATCTGGGGATGGAGAGCCAGTCTGCACCTGCTGGCCGACCTCCTTTGCAGGCTTCCTGCTTCCCCCCCTCAAGAATCCATTACTTTTTTCTTCTTCTTCTTCTTCCCAGAAAGCCACCAGCATCTTTTCTGTTCCTTCCCCCCCTTCCCCATAATCTTGTCCCCAGGACTTTGGAGAAAGGCTGCCTAGCAAAGCATCCTGATTGCCCCTCGCATAGGGATACATGGGGGGTGGGTGCAATCTGCCTCTCCTTCTCTCAGCCCACTATTTCCAACCAGGGCCCCTTCCCCAAGAGGGGGAGGGGGAGTCTGGCCTCCCCTTCCAGGGTTTACCCCCCCCCAGTGTTTTAGGAGCTCAAGGTAGACTGCTGCTGGACAAGGAGGCTCCAGTGGGCAAGAGCCTCTCTCATCTCCCCTCCTCAGCCCACTGTTTCCAACCAAGGCCCCTTCCCCAAGAGGGGGAGGGGAAGTCTGGCCTCCCCTTCCAGGGTTTACCCCCCCCCCAGTGTTTTAGGAGCTCAAGGTAGACTGCTGCTGGACAAGGAGGCTCCACTGGACCGTAGCCTTTCTCGTCTGCATCCCCCCCCCAGTTTCCAACCAGGGCACTTTTGGAGCCTTCCTACCCCCCAGTGTTTTAGGAGCTCAAGGTAGACTGCTGCTGGACAAGGAGGCTCCACTGGACCGTAGCCTTTCTCGTCTCCCCCCCACCCCGCATCCCCCCAACCCAGTTTCCAACCAGGGCACTTTCCCAAGAGGGGGAGGGGGAGTCCGGCCTCCCCTTCCAGGAGTCACACCCCCCAGTGTTTTAGGAGCTCAAGGTCGACTGCTGCTGGACAAGGAGGCTCCAGTAGACAGCAGCTTCTCTCAACTCCCCCCACCCTCAGCCCAGTTTCCAACCAGGGCCCCTTCCCCAAGAGTGGGGTGTTCAGTCCTCCCCTTCCTCCAGGGATCACCCCCCCCAGTGTTTTAGGAGCTCAAGGTAGACTACTGTTAGACAAGGAGGTTCCACTGGACCGCAGCCTCTCTCATCTCCCCCCCCAGCCCACTATTTCCAACCAGGGCCCCTTCCCCAATTAAGGAGGGGGGGTCGGGCCTCCCCTTCCTTCAGCGCTTTAGGAGCTCAAGGTAGACTACTGTTGGATAAGGAGGCTCCAGTGGACAGCAGCCTCTCTCATCCCCCCCCCTCAGCCCACTGTTTCCAACCAGGGCCCCTTCCCCAATTAAGGAGGGGGGGTCGGGCCTCCCCTTCCTCCAGCGCTTTAGGACTCAAGGTAGACTACTGTTGGATAAGGAGGCTCCAGTGGACAGCAGCCTCTCTCATCCCCCCCCCTCAGCACACTGTTTCCAACCAGGGCCCCTTCCCCAATTAAGGAGGGGGGGTCGGGCCTCCTCTTCCTCCAGCGCTTTAGGAGCTCAAGGTAGACTACTGTTAGACAAGGAGGCTCCACTGGAGCGTAGTCTCTCTCTCTCTCTCGCCTCCCCCCGCTTCGTTAACCCTTCCCTTCCCCTCCAGGCCGGGCGGCGGGTGATGGCGGCGGGCCTTTTTCCTTTCTTTCGCCTTCCCGACCTCCAGCCCCGTCCCCTCCTCTCCTCACCGGGCCCCACCGCTTTTTAGGCTCCCCGTCCGGCGGCCGCGTCCTGCATTGACCCGGAAACAGCTCGCTCGCTCGCCCGGGATGGGAAGGAAGGAGCGAGGCAGCGCGCGCGACCGGAGGGGAGGAGGGAGCCGGAGAAATGAAAACCAAACATCACGTGACTTCCCTCACGTGAGAGGCCGGAGCCACGCGCCGTTGCCCGGGAGACGCGGCGGCGCCGGGAAGGGCCGCGGGAGACGCGCATGCGCGCCGCGGGAGACGCGCATGCGCCCCGCGGCCTCTCTCTCTCTCTCTCTCTCTCTCTCTCTCTCTCTCTCTCTCTCTCTCTCCCTAACTGCCGCCGCGCGGCCCAACGGTTTTTCCCGCCTCTTTCCGTTTGAAAGTCTCCCCCCCCCACCGCTCCGCGCGACGCCCTTAAGTGGGGGGGGGGGGAATAACGGTCGTTTCCATTGCGCTTTCTGAGGCGATTCCCAGTCATATAAAGGGGGAAAGCTCTATCATGGAAGGGCATATTTTATTTTACACAGTTTAAAAAAAAAAAAAAAACCCAACAATCATAGGCAGGATAATCTTTGATTTCAAATTGTTCATTGTCACCTTGATTTTTTCCCCCCCTTTCTATAATTTTTGAACAGTTAAGAATTTGCATATGGAATTGCCATTTAGAAAATAGAAAGTCATGTATGAAAAAAACCCACATCAACCAAGGGGTTTCTTGATTGCTGGCCAATGATCCTCATTTAACCTTAATGGTGGTCCCAAAGGTGTTTTTTTTTCCCCCCCCCCAAGACTTTCTGGTTTTTCTTTGAAGACGTTTCGCTTCTCATATGAGAAGCTTCCTCACTTCTGACTGAATGGTGGGGAATGGATCAGTCAGCCAAGCACCTCAAGTCAGAACGGAAGAAGCTTCTTGGATGAGAAGCGAAATGTCTTCAAAAGAAAAAAAAAACCCAGAAAGTCCAAGTTGCCTCTTGGGGGGAGAAAAAAAAGAGCACCTTTGGGCGCCTCCTGGCTTGTTTAAACCCCGATTTGTTGGCAAAGACATGGTGGCTCCGTGGCTAAGACACCGAGCTTGTCGATCAGAAAGGTCGGCGGTTCGAATCCCTAGCACAGGTCTCCTGTGTGAGTAGGAGGATTGGACTAGATGACCTCCAAGGTCCATTTCCAACTCTTGTTACTGTTAATTTGTTACCCTTGGTAAGACACAAAACCTTAAACTAGGTTTAACCTTAAACCTAGTTTAAGGTAAAAAAAAAAAGCATCTGCCGTAGCTGTCCCCACACCAGGTGCTGAAGCTGTTATAGTTTCTGAATGAAATGGGTGCTAAATAGGGGGAGTTACACAAGGTTGAAAAGTAAATTAATCCAAGAATGTCCCTGAGAAGCACCCCAGTTTTTCGTTTTTCTGCTGAGACAGGCGGGTCGAGAGTTTTAAATACAACCCTGAATGTTGGCCAGATGCTTTTTCACCTCTTAAAATTCTTCTTTCTTAGGAGTGGTAGGACCCCTGTTTGAGATGGGCAGCTGCCCAGAAAACTGGGGTGCCCAAAGCCCGGGAACATGGCGATGGGACTTTCATGAGTCCCCTTCTTCAATTGTTCAGGGAGTGCCTATTTTCACACCAAAATTGCCGCCACCGCCACTGCTGCTGCTGTTGTCAAGGCTTTATTGATGCTCCCTAAATATTCTGCAATGTGACCCTGATCGGTGGCTTTTGTATAACTAAACGGGAGAGAGATGAATTAAACTGCAGCTTTCAATACATCTGAGGGGTCTTAAACCTCTGTTTCTCAATATTGGAAACATTACATTGGGTGGACTTCAACTCACAGAATTCTCCACCCAGTATCTACGTACCTACCCACCTTCCATTTTCTTTTCCTCCCTCCCTCCCTCCCTCCCTCCCTCCCAATTTCCCCTCCCTTCCCCCTCCTCCCTTTCTTTCCTCCCCCTTTCCTTCCTTCCTTCCTTCCTTCCTTCCTTCCTCCAATCCTTCCTTCCTTCCTCCTCCTCCCTCCCTCCCTCTTCCTTCCTCCCTCCCTTCTTTCCTCCCTCCATCTTTTCCTTCCTTCTCCTTCCTTCCTCCCTCCCAATTTCCTTCCTCTTCCTCCTTCCCTCCCAATTTTCCAATCTTTCCTCCTCCTCCTCTCCTCCTCCTTCCAATCTTTCCTCCTCCCTCCAATTTTTTTTCCTTTCTCCCTCCCTCTTCCTCTTCCTCCCTCCCTCCCTCTTTCTCCTTCTCTCCTTCCTCCCTCCCTCCCTCCTTCCTCCCTCCTCTTCCTTCCTTCCTTCCTTCCTCCTCCTTCCTTCCTTCCTCCTCCTCCCTCCCTATCCTTCCTTCCTTCCTTCCTCCAATTTTTCCTTCCTTCCTCCTTCCCTCCCTATCCTTCCTTCCTTCCTTCCTTCCTTTTCTTCCTTCCTTCCTCCCAATTTTTCCTTCCTTCCTCCTCCCTATCCTTCCTTCCTCCAATCCTTCCCTCCCAATTTTTCCTCCCTCCTCCTTTCCTCCCTTCTTTCCTTCTTCCTTCCCTCCCTCCCCCCAGGGAACAAGGGACTGTGTGAATGGCCAATGTTGAGAGGGACCGGACCTTTTCTCCATTGACTTTCTCCTTGTAAGCATCCCACAAGCAAAGACTTTGTTAAGGGAAAGGTGGGAAAGGAGCATAGGAGCGTTGACAATCATTTCCTCCTGGATTCCCCCTTGATTTGTGGGAAACTGTCAGGGAACATTGAAAATGAGACTTATGCAACAACACAGCACTGGCATTGAACAGCACGGTAGTGCTGAAACAGCAAAACAATCCCCAAGTTTCATTCTCTTGGGTCCCAGCATTCTATAAATTAACACATTTGAAGTAACTTCATTGAAAAAAGTTTTGCCCCACGATGCAGCATTTCACCCAATACCAAACAGACATGAGGATTTTATTCATACATAGATGAAGCTCTGCTAATTTAAGAATAGCTTAAGATATTCAGTATATATTCAAACACACCAAGGTCCTCAAATTATGTCTAACAACTGGTCTTGGGTTTTCGCCATCTTTCTTCAAATAATTGACCCAGATTTATAAATAATGGGATCAAAAGAGGAACAAGCCAAAATTCCTTCCTAGTTTTTCAATTTTTAAAAGGCATAGGAATAGAGGCCCACTTCCAATTTTTCTTTGAAAGGTGTAAATATTGACTAAGCAACCCAGGAAAGATTTGGGTCTCTTTGACCTTTTCCTGCAACCGAAAGTACAATCATATTTATAATGAGTAGTGGCTGGTTTTGATTTTTGAATGCTAAACCAAATCATCTGTTGCAGCAGAGAATAAAATATAGGGGGAAAAATTTAAAATATTACATGAGAGTATGTGAGGATGACAGTAGTTGGTGAGCAAACAATGTTACTAATATTTCTGGATGTCCCTTGTATGAGATTGTTGATGGGTCTGAATCCTAGTCAGTGTTGCTTTAATGAGTTTTTTTAAACTACCGAAGGCTATCAGTTTCAAATGCTAGAGTTTACATTACAAGGCCTTACTGGTTCAGACAGCTTAAAAATTAAACCTGTCAGAGCAAATAAACAGGCAAGGTGTCCAGTTGAAGGTTTTGCATAAGTGTTAGTATCCCAGTTTATTCCTGCAAATGAGAACAGGAATTTTCTTTTTAAGGTCACTCATAAATGCAGTATGGGTATAGAATCTGGAACAACTTACGTTTTTTGATCAGACAAATCAGTCATTGTAGCTTTCCACTGCAAATCACAGAGGTCTTTCTGCACTCATTTGCATTCCCATTTGGCTGTGAATAAATTACCTTCAACCTTAGTTCATTCGGAGCTAAGCTTAGAAAAGCTGAAGTGCAAAACTCGTCAATGTTACCTGAGATCACAGACAAATTCTGACAGATTTTCTCTTTCAGAAGTAAAGCAACCTCAATTTGAAAAAACCAATTACATATTTGCGAAATATATTTTTTTAAAAAAATAATTTAGGCATGTTAATTAAAAACTGTACTAACTTTAATATAGTACTTAGATCAGCTTGATTTACTGTCGTGCATCATGGTACTTTGAAGATTGAATTATATTTTGCAATATAAAAGAGAATTAGAACCCTTCTGGAGAACTGGCGGCTACCAGAAAGATTAGCAGATTGTTAAAATAAATTAAGCATATTTTAATAATTCCTCTTTCGTTATTTTTAGGTTCAAACGTGCATCATATTCATTAACTGGCATTATTTAAAACCATCCTGAAATATGTATTATTATCCCTGTACTGAAAATGGGATGCCAAACCAGCATAGCTTTTCTAATTCAATTGTATAAATGACTTTGTATAAATATACAAAAGTATGAAGGCTATTGCTTAACGCATTGTAAGCCGCCCTGAGTCTCCGGAGAAGGGCGGCATATAAATCAAATTTAAAAAAAAATTGTGAAAAAATTTTACCAGCCACTTTTCTCTCTTCTGCATTATAGCTAGAAACTATTCAGTGTTTTATATTAAGTGAAGCTAATGCTCATTTTTCCTATCCCTATGCCCACACCTGTCTTCTTCACTTTTCACTGATTATCCTGTACACAAATATTTGGTCTATTACTATGGTCAGGGACTGAAGGAATGAGTAAGTATCTTATAGCGTTCATGTATCAAAGTAAATTCTGTTATCCACTTGTATTTATTCTAACAGGAATTGTGCCTTTCCTCCATTTTTAAAATATATCATTTTCCAAGGCTGATGTATATTTTAAATATGAACCATTTCATATGCAGGGGGCTTCCTAATCTTAATTTGTCATTTTAATAGTTCTATGAAACACACCCTTGTCATTTTACCAAGGAATGAAAATGGGTTTATAGATTAATGTGCTTAAATCCTAGGACCCAGTATTCCATTGCAGACTTAGATTGACTAGGATCTAGTCCAGGGGTGTCAAACTGGCGGCCTGCGGGCTGATTGTGTCACGCGCAAGCCACGCCCACCCCAGCTCCGCGAAGGGAAAAACCGTCACGTGATGGCAAAGTGACACCGCAAGTTTGACACCCGTGATCTAGTCAAAGAGCCATGGTGATGCAGTGGTTAGAATGCAGTACTGCAGGCTAACTCACTGCTCACTCCAGGAGTTCGATTCTGAGCAGCTCAAGGTTGACTCAGCCTTCCATCCTTTTGAGGTGGGTAAAA